AGATTGAGCTCTAATTGTGGATCAATTAGAGTGTGGACGAAAACAGAACCAATTTCCGTTTAGTTATCTTTGTAATCGTTGAGTTAATCTTCTTGTTTCTTTATGTTTTATATACCATTTTTTAGCTCGTAAAATTCTCTATCGAATGGTATATAATAGTTGGGGTTTTAGTTGACTATGATAGGAAAAGTTGTTTACGAAAGCGGGAAAGTGTCGATCTTTCCAAGGTGAGGGTATAGGTAAAAATGAGTATTTTTGCAATAACTCAGGAAGGGCTCGGCCAATCCTTCTCATCTTCGAATTCGACCGAGATCTTGTTAAGACTGAACTATGCAGAAAATTTCATCGCGATCTGACTCTCCTTTCAAAAGTTATCGTGTAAACGGACGGACGGACACACTGACCGATTCTAGAGTGTACTCACTTTTTGAGTACACAAAAAAAAGAACAGTTAACCTATATAAAAGACAAAAATAACAAACAATTCGTATTCGAGTTGATGTTTCAGCTAAACGATCAAATATTAATGTTGATAAACATGATATTGTTTCATATTGTACTTGATCATTTGATAGTATTACAGAAGTATTTGATTATTGTAATAAATGGTGTATTTTACATATCCATTGACAAGAAGAGGTAATCCATTTGAGTAAAAAATGTATTGATCATTGACATGGTAAAACGAACTCTGATCGACATACCTTAAAATCGACTTATGTATTCAAAATGTTACCAAAAATAAAGGTCTCGATAGAATATAATTCATTATGAAAGTGTCATATTTTCTCGTATCTTTCATCTTCATAAAAACAAACTTGAAAATTTTGTGATGCAAAAAAAATAAACATTATTCTCTAGTGAAAGTGTCAGATTGTAATTTTTTAGTTCAATTTATTAGACTGTCCCATGGAATCATTCGAGAAAAAAAACTACCGAGTTAACATCTCTAGAATATACATCGAAAAATATATTTTTGATCACCAAAAAAAGTTGAAATTGATCACCATTTTTTTTAATTGCGAAATGATCACCAAAATAAGATACAAATGATCACCAAAAAAAGAGACATTTGATCACCAAGTTAATTAACTTGTAATGTTCGATAATATATTACTTTTATGAGATATAGATAACATGGTTTTGATAAATGGAATGTTTATCGTGAATTTTAATTGATTAATATAACAGAGTTAACTTTGAAAGAGCTGAACTCATATTGTTGAAATGATCCAATTAATAAAAATAGTTTAAAAAGAATATTTTGTCATGAGAAATTATTCCATAAAAATGTCTAATAATGAATGGAAATTGCTAAATCATATGAAGAAGCAAAAGAATTCGTTACAGAAAAGTACAATGTGTGTCAATATCGACGATCAGATTTAAGAAACGAAATAAAATACTCATTCAAATGTAGCAAATACAGAAAATATCGTCCAAAAAAAATTCGTACGGCATATTACCATAATTAACTGTATAAAAATTTTTTGTATTAAAGTTGTCTTAAATATGTTGATTATAATATATAATTGTAATTCTTCTTCTATTTACTTCTTCATAATAAATTTGGTGATCAAATGTCTCCTTTTTGGGGATCATTTCACAACAAAAAAAAATGGTGATCAACTTCAACTTTTTTTAGTGATCAAAAATATTCATGCCCAATATACATACTTAATTTATCGATTAGCATTCCAAGTCTAGATTTTGGTTTCGGTAAGAAAACTAGACAAAACTTATTTTGTGAATAAAATATTGTGATATCTAAAATTCATAAAAAATTTTAATGTCAAGCTTGATGATCAAATAAAGAGATCGACTTCAATAAGATATTCAATGATTATGCATCTGATTTGAGAAATGGAAACTTTTATTGGCGATAAAAACCTTTGGTATGACCAAGAAATTCAATGTCGAAATATTTTTAATACATGTCAGAATTAGTCTGCTTCTATAATCTTCATTTACTACATTGTTTATCTTTTTTATTAAAATAAAGGTGTGGTTGTGTGTTAGTGAAGAGAAGATTCACAACCACACTTACCCACATCGTAATTCTATAATTCGTCAGTCTATTATGTCATTTTGGTATTAACTAATATTATAAAACAAGCGAAAGAATTAAAGATTAAATTGAAATTATAAGTTTGATAAAAAATTCTTTTTACTTACATTCGTTCAAGTTCAACTTCTGTTCTTTTTTCGTTTAAAAAATCAGAGAATGTTTTTTCTGCTTAAAAATCAAGCAAAAAAACACAAATTCATTTTTTTTAACTTCAAATCTAACAAAATAAGACTTTTCTTCTGCGGTCTCTAATCTGATTCAAAGCCAACTTGTTTTTATTTCTATTGTCCGATTTTTTTAAAATGCCAGCCACCATTTTTTGAATAACTCTTCACCATTGATAGCTATCGAGTTCAGGTTTTAGCCATTCGATAGAGGAGCATGGGGCGTCTATCTATATGAAACTCATTAGGACCAAAGAACTTTTTTTATGGTAAATATTTAATTGATAAGAGTTTTCACAGAGATCTAGGCTTGAATTACACCAAAATGTAGCTCGGAGGGTACTGTATTTGTGATAAAATTTTCAGCTCTTTCTGTCATTTTCTTGAATACGACAGTTCGTTAAAATTCTGAGATTTTAACGCAAATTCAGCACCTCTGAGCTACATTTTGGTGTAATTGAAGTCTAAGTCTCTATGAAAACTAATGAAAATTGGTAACGAAAACCCTTATCAAGTTAATATTTACCATAAAAACTTCTTTGGTCCTAATGAGTCTCATTTAGATAGACGCCCTCCCGCACCGTTCTATCGAATGGCTAAAACCTGAACTCAATAACTATCAATCGTGAAGAGTTATTCAAAAAATGGTGGCTGGCATTTTAAAACAAAATTCGACAATAGTTTAAAAACTACTTAATCTAAAGAAATTCTAGAACTATAGCAAAATGACAAAATCAAATATAAATATAAAAAACGATGTTTTTCTCATTTTAATCAAATAAAATAAATAAGACTTTTTTCTCTTTTCATTCCACATCGGAAAGCTCTTTTCTTATCATAGATATCACTCATTACCCTGCATTTTTTAAAATCTTTACCAACTACGGTGGTTGTCAGTTGAATTGACATTTTCCCCTTTGTCTTAAAACAAAGAAAACAAAGGATGAAAATTCAATTGGCCCCCACTACATTGATTTTTGAGAACAATCACAGATGGAGGTCACTTTCGTAATTAACAATAATAATGGCTCTAGAAAAACAACTACAAATAATTCGATATCTATCTTTGCTCATGTATAAACACAGCTGTTGTTGTACTATTTTCATTGTTAATTTCTTCTTTTACATAGAAAATGATTAGCTGAGTCATGAGTAATTCAATTGAACAACTTGAATTAAGTGCTGCTAATGCTGCTGTCATTGGACAATTCAATGAAGCGATCGATGTAATAGTTTTTTATTCTTTCTTTTAATTATCTTGTTTCATTTTCTTGGTTTTTTGTCTCAGATTTACTCAAGAATTATTCAATTGGCTACAAATAGATTAAATGCACATAATACTTCTTTAGTATTTGTAAGACGTGCTGGCTACTATATTTTTTCTAAAAGATTCGAAGGTAATACATCTGTACATTGTCTTGATATATTATCGACTTTTTCAGAATCACTAGCTGATAGTGAAACAACAATAGGTCTTGATTCAAATAATATTTTAGCATATTTACAGAAAGCGTGAGTAATAAAAAGAATTGATACGAAAAAAGTTGAAAATCATTTTTTTTTTAGTAAAGCTTTGTTTCACTTGAATAAAGTGAAGGAGGCAAAAGCTGTTATTCGATTCGCAAAAGAATTACCAGGTAAAAGATGCAATTTAACTACTGTTTGATAAATATTGCTTTAGGTGATCACCAATTATTCGAAGAATTAGAATATATAATAAACAATTCATGGTTTACATTGAGTAAGAAATACTTTTATTGAAAACATTTTGCACGGAACTAGAGTAACATATCTTTCAATTATCGAGGAATATTTTCAATAATAGTTAATCTCTTTTAAAATTCGAAAAAAAAGAATCTTCGTTAAACTGAGCTTTTTCTCACGTAACCAGTTTTGATCTCTGTTTTATTTAGAGTGCTATCCAAGAGATGAGGTATGGATTCATAGGCGGTGGAGCCCTTGAGGCTCATGAGGCTTGAGCCTCATCTGGCTTTTGCCAATTGAGGCTTAGCTTCACCTAATTTTGAACTTGACACCCCATGATAATATATAGTTTTCACGTCTCTTATGCACTTGTGGTCACTACTGTCCTGGTAGAGACAGACAGAAAATATACATTTCTTTTATGTATGTTGTTCGTAGTGACTATCTTGACCTTGAATTGACATGTCGGCAGTCGAATATGAGTTACGCTTTAATTTTACAAGAGAAGAATAGCTTGAGATAAGAATGTGCCAGTGAAGAACGAGTCCGAGTCCCCATAACCCGAACTCGAGTCACATATTTTGATTGACTCGGACTCGAAAATTGGATAACGGTGACTCGAGTCATCCTGAGTCCTTTATTCAAAAACGTTTTCATTGGCTATTTTAAAAAAATAAACTTTGATTTGTATGATTAAATTCTGATTGTCTAGAAATTTTGTCCTAATTGAGTACATTGTATCAGAATAATTTTTTCAAGCGCGTTTTTTTTGACCTATGAATTCATGTGGTTGTAAATGATAGCCTACATGTATTGTCGAATATGTGCATTTTTTCTCGCATTTTAGATTCGACTCATCTCTGAAGAGTGTATACGTGTACGTAATAAAATAAATGAAAACTTCGCATCGCAACAAACGTTATATTCTCTATCACGATGCAATATCATTGTTGTGTGACAGCATTTTGATCACCAACATTTTTCCTCCTTCATTTTACATTATCTATTCCCCAACAGTGTGTTTGTGTGTGTGTGCGATCTTCACGTCATCCATATCCACCCTTTTATTTAAAAAAAGATTAATATTGATCTCTCAAGAAGCTTGCTACAACAAATATGTGTGTTTCTGGCACATCAGTATCAGCTGAACATGTTTTCTCAAAGTTTTCTTTCAATGAAATCGAATTCTTCACGTTTTGCAAAAGCCAATATTTTTACTCTAACATCTTTTAAGTGCAATAAGACATTTAATTTAAATGGTAATAGATAATTTTTGCTTGTAAACAGGTTTTAGGTTAGGTTTTTGCTTACAAAAACATTATATTTTTTACGGTGATGTAACGCTGTGTAAAATAGAAGAGTTGATTTCACTCCGCTTATTTTATTGATTGATCTTGATTAGTTGTGTGATTTTTTTATGGGTAACCTTTTTTTTTTTTATATTTATTTTACTGTGCCATGTTATACCCGGTTCACAGTTAGGGAAATATAACAAGAAAAAAGGAGACTAGGACATAGACATGAATAACAGATATAAAAACGTCAGCCATATAAAGGAAAGAAAAAGAAAAAAAAGAGGAAAGAGCGAAAACCAACACTATATATCACACTACCCTATAGGAAATACATATTGACAACAATAAAAGAGAAAAAAAAACAACAACATATATTCAAGCATAGCTGGTTCAGAAATGAGCAGAGGTTGTACAGCGATCACTCTGACATATTAACTATATGTCATGTATGATATCTGAGGGTGCTGCAAAAAAGTACTTGTAAACGTAATCGTATATATATTCATTGTTAATCTTGAAATATTCATACTGTGCTTTATGAACTTCCTCAAATGATAACCACTCAACTAAACAGTGAGTTGCCTGCTGAATAAGTCTACGAGGAAATACACTATTGCGTCTAAACTTCAATGACTTCCTCCAACTATTTGGCGTGGTTATAATTAAATAAGCGTTCCAAGATTGTTGGAAAGCAAGACCTTCATCAGAATTTAAAAGGTGATAGGCAAAACGTCGCCAGTACTTATATAAATAATCATGAAGAGTTTTTTCACGAGCTAATATTAAGGCAGTAAAATCATCCCATTGACGAAGATTATGTAAAATCCTAATACCCAAACAAAAGGTATGCTCAATATGATCACGTTGATTATTCGTAAAGAAAAACCAAGTGCAAAATAACCATAGAAAATGTGGTAAGGCATATGCCAGAAAGATCTTTCTACGAATTTTAATGTCTTTCATCCTAATAGTTCTAAATATGATCCTCATAGCATTGTATATTTTTCTAATGATTCCAAGACGTTCTTTGATATAAAAATCCCAACCTAACTTAACCGAAATAGTCACCCCTAAATATTTGAATTTTTTAACATACTCAATTGGTTGCGCTTTATAATATACTCGTGGATATGGTGGGTCGACAATGCTATGAACTAGCATGGCTTTTGTTTTAGCTACATTAACAGGTAATAGCAAATCATTCGCAAAATTTTCTAGCTTCTTCAGAGTAAACGCTGCTATTTGTTCCAGTTCATTTACGTTTTCTGAAAATTTCTTCTCAAGGGAACCCGTCAGGATTAGTACCAGATCATCTGCAAACAGATGAAAATTTGTACCGAATAAGTAATTCGGTAGAAGATGCAGATGAATTCTAAAAAATGTCGCACCCAGCACAGACCCTTGCGGTGTACCTACCCTCATTGGGATAGATCTGGATCGTTCATTTCCGTGATAAATACAAAAGGATCTACATTGAAACCAGTTATAGATCCATTTAAGCAGCCGCAGAGGCATTCCTAACTCATACAGGTTTGATATTAGTGCGGGTATCCACAGTCGGTCGAAGGCCGACAAAAAGTCAACAAAAATGGTTAAAGCAGGACGGTTATTAGCAGCAATAGTTAATCTTAATTCTTCAATCAGAGAAATCACCCTTGTTTGTAATCGTCTGCCTGGAGAAAATCCAGATTGCTCATCGGTGGAGATGTTGTTATCAGCACACCATTTTAAAATTCGGTTATGTACTATCCTTTCAAAGCATTTTCCGATATTGGGGAGTAAAGATATAGGTCTTAAACGATTAGGTGCTGGATATATGCCTTCCTTTGGTATGCAGACTATTTTTGCATGTTTAGCAGCGTTTTTTATGGGTAACCTATTTTGGTTTTTACGCGTAAAGACTAGGAACTACATCTCGTGTATTGAGAGACTTGTTGACGTTCTTTGTGAACATAAACAAACAGCAAAAATAGCTTGACTCGACTCGATACCACTACGAAATTACTCGAACTCCAGTCAACTCAAGAAATGGCTTGACTCGCCCATCCCTGGGATGTGCATTTAGATTCTGAATATTCAGAAGTGTTAGGTAGTGGTATATATCGTGTATCCCACAACCTTTGTCATTCTCGTTCCTATACGTATATGTTGTGTTCTTCTTGTCGTGCCTGTATTATTTTGTTCGTTCTCGTCGTTGGACTTTTCCTTGCCTCTATTTTACATATATGGGATATTCCATCTCATGGACTTTTTCCTTTTGTTAGGCATCCACAAACGAACAAAGAAAACTATTCTTTGGTACTTTTTAATCATATCCATTTTTTATTCATTCTTCTGTTGATTTACTGAAGTTAATACAAGAGCTTTGCTTAATGCTCTAATAAAACTTTAATCGTCGAAGTTCGACGGATGAGAAGAATAAAACACGATGAGTCTCATATAAATTCAAGACGCTCCGCTACCTATGTATGAATGTGACTGTGTAAATATCAAAGAAGAACGTGTGAATTTGTATGTTCTATTGAACATCATGGGACCTGCTCAGGGAATTATTATTTTAAGGAAGGAGTAACAGTAAGGCTATTGTTTTGTTCAAAATGTTTAAGAAAGAAAGTTATATCCTGAATGAATATAAAAATGTGAGCGAAATAAGCTACGTTTTCTGTTGAAAAACGACTTTCTTTTTTCACCTGTCGTTTTACACCTGTAGGACATCAGAACTATAGTATCGAAAATTGTTCTTTTCTAAATCTTTTGATTTAAACGTCATCAAATGCAGCGATTGATGCTGATCCTGAATGTGACCTTACGATTCGGCAACAATGAAATTTTGATCGAGATAAATCTATTGTGTTGAACAACTCTAATAGAAGATCATTTTTGGTTTTCGTCACCAGTTAGCTTGATAACGCCATTAAGAAATTTAAAATGTAAAAGACGTGTATAACATTGAATTTGCCCTCAATGTCATATAAAAAAGACGATTGGATTTTGATATTTGCTTTGTTTTTTTGAATATTTGACCCTAAAGCTATCCAAAACACGGGTTTAAATGTTTTGTTTTGTATGACATTGATGGGAAATTCAATGTTCTACATGTCTTTTACAATTTAGACTTCTTAATAAGGTTGCCAGATTAGTCGACAACGAGGATCGCAAATGATCTTCTCTCAGAATTGTGCAATAAAATAGGTCTTTCTCGATCAAAATTTCATGATCATCGAATTGTAACACCATATTCAGAATTAGCATCAAACGCTACATTCGATAATGCATGATTTCTTAAAATTGAAAAAAAACTTTTCTATGATTTTAAGATTCCCTACAGGAGTAAAATAACAGGTGAAACGTGCAAGTCGCTTTTCCGCAGAAAAAACTATACGATTTTAGTCAGAATTTCATGATAAACAGAATCGTTGTGTTCTCTTCGGGAACTTTCAATCGAAATTGAAAACAATATGCCGATGTCTTCAATATAAAAAATGAAATTTCATATTGAGTAGAATCCATTTAGCCA